TCATACATCATGCTTCGTTTCGTGCTTAGCGTTCATCGTTGTCAAACCTGCTGGCGTAGTTTTCTATCTCCTTTCTTTCTCTTCTTCTCGCAACTAGCTGGCGGTCTGTAGCTCTGGCTTCAATCCACAGTTGAGACGAAGTGCAGCATTTGGTTCGCACGTGCCCTCGTTGAGCTGGCGGTCTGTAGCTCTGGCTTCAATCCACAGTTGAGACGAAGTGCAGCATTTGGTTCGCACGTGCCCTCGTGCCGAAGAAACGCAGGGCGAAGATATGCGCTGGCGCCACCAGCCTTCCCCATGCCGAACGCTACACACAACATACACTAGACCTGCACTAATAAGCAACCTGACGGACTATTAGGCTGGCTCTTCCGGTAAACGGGAGCTCTAACTCTATGGCGTTAAAATATCCTGTTCTTTTACGGAGACCTTCGCTCCCGCCCCCATTTCGAAATCCGCTTCCACATTTCTGTTTTGCTTTCTTTGCAACAGATGGCGCCAATCAACGTGTGTTTTCTGGTTCCGCGGTGTTCCCTTCGGTCGAAATTTTATACGCATGCAAACAACAAGTGAGATCGGTTAGACGTTCTGCTTGAGCAAAATAAAATAAGAATGCGCAGAAACCTGACCTCATCCAAAAGCACCCGCCAAACTCGCGCAGCATGTGCAGATTCATGGGTTACCACGGAGATGCTGTGACCGGGGAAATAGTCTCATATTATTTCGCAACGACGTAATTTTAACGCGATAGCGTTAAGGCTCCCGTTCCGCGGAAAAGCCGGCGCAGTAGTCGCGGTAGTGGTGGTACTTCTGAGCGAAACATTCAGATTGGTCCAAACGTCGAGCCACTGAATCTTTCCAGAGTAGCGCAACTCCCAAGGTTCACGTCGAAACCATGCCGCGGCGCTGCCATCGACTGCTACAAAAAGCCCCTTGTGTGTTAAAAGTAGCGCCATTCATTGTTGTAGAAATGCACGCAGCGCGTGCCCCGCACCGCTTTCGGGAAGAACATGGCGGCTTGATTGCGGCGGCTTTGTCGAAGCCACAATCAAGCCGCCATGCTCTGTATTTCATCTCAACTGAATCTGGGTTGAAGGCAACGATACGGGCCACCAGCTCTAATCACGAACAGCCAGTTGAAAGAAGAAGGGAAACAGAGAAGAAGAAGAAACAAAATCACGCTAGTAGGTTTGGCAACGACCTACGCTCAGCACGAAACAAAGCATACTGTATGATTAGAAGTGTGTGTAACGAGAGATGTACTAATTAATGAACTAGTAATTGAGCGAGTTCACGGTATGCTGTTGTACCCATCAGGCGGAGCTTGAATGTTTGCCCCCCCCCCCCCCCCCCCCCCCCCCCCCCCCCCCCACTCTCCTGAAAAATGTCCATTGACTGAGGCGTGGCCGAGCTGGAGAGGAACGGAACGACGGAACTGCGGTTCTACCACCCGATCTACTGTCTGGCTATGAAACGCATGATGACATCCACGGATGAGAGTAATGACGCCACTGTGATAATATTGCGGCAATTAAATTATTCTTTGCGTAATGTGTAAGATATAATTTTCTGCTCATTGTCTCGAACTACTTCAGTGCAATTATTTTTTTAACATTGCTCCTTAGTTTTGCAGCTGCTCTCATTTTCCTAAATTACGACGTCTCTTTCCGGAACCTGTAGAAAGCTCGCGTTTTCTTGTTATGCCAGCTTGCCGAGAGGGGACAGAAAAAAAAAAATAGCAGGGCGTAGACGAGGCCCATCCGTGACCTAAGCATCGTACCTTGGAGCAAGGCGACATTGACGTTGCCGGATGGCACAAGAAGAAAAGAAGACCAGGGCGAAAGCGACAGCACACCTATACAAAAAGATTGAATGTGAAGACAAAGCTTGGAGGCCAGATTCCGCTTGACTTAGGAAAACAACCGGGTTACTGACGCCACGTCGTCTGAGTTAGTACCGGCTGTACAATGCGAGTGACGCGATACCTTTAAGCAGGCTTAGGCTTTCGCCCAAGCCCTTGTTGTGCGAAATTTGGGTGCCCGTCCTCACAATAAAGGCGGATCATCATCGCGACCTTCAGTAGCCGGGGGAGGGGGGACTGCTTTTCATAACGGGGGGGGGGGGGGGGGGGGGCTTAAAGTGCTGTTTTAAAAAGGAGCTGGTGGTTTTTCAACCAAGACGAGGTGAACTTTTTTTTTTTTTTGCTTTCTCTCTTTTTCAGATTTCGCTTGACTTAGGAAAACAACCGTGTTATTCGCGCCACGTCGTCTGGTTTAGTACCGGCTGTACAATGCGAGTGGCACGAGACCTATAAGCTGGTTTAGGCTTTCGCCCAATAAGTTAAAATTGTGCGTCCGTCCCCACATCCTTTGACTGGAACCACCTGGCTGCACCCGTAGTCTCCATCATAGATCATGTTCTTTTTAAAAAAAAACCTTGGAACGCATTTTTTTTTATAATCTTCACTGATTGCATTTTCCTGTGTATCTGTGTCTGTTTTTTTTGTTTTTTTTAACTCATGCAACCACTTCCCCCTATGTAATGCTCACGCCCTGAGGGTAATATAAATAAATAAATAAATAAATAGAAGCGGATCATTGTCGCGACCTCCGGTAGCCTAGAAAGCACTACAGTTTTCGTAAGTGGTGTTTAAAAGATGGACCTGCGGCTTTTTTAACCACAGTGATTCTTTTTTTTTCCCCCTTTCTCCCTTTCTCGCGCGTGCTTTTGCTTTCGATCCGCTCTCAACAGCGAGAGGCAGCCGAATGCTATGCGGATCTGCATATCAAAAACTGTTTAATGTTAAGGACTAGAACTTTTACAAGTGGCTTTTGTGTCGTGAAGGTTCTTTCACTCAATTAGCATTTAAAAACTAAAGGAACAAGGAAGAAGAACACCGGTCTGTGTGCCAATAAAGTGAATAAAATGTGCGTAAGTTACTGCTTTGAGTATGTTCATTGATAGTTATTTCATTACAACTCGAAATCAATTACAATGGAATGCAATTACTTGTACTTCTCGGCAGTTTTAGCCTAATCTGATTACATTTGCGATTGTTCGGGGAAAAGGATTAGTAATACAATTTAGCTACTTCAGTGTGCATCCGTCTTGTTCCAACGCGCGAGGCTTGGGTGGCAGATGACATTCGTTTGTACGTGTTTCTTTTTTCTTTTTCCTTTCTAAACCGTTTCGCAGAAACCTGCAATAAAAAGGTTTTGTGATTTTCCTCTACGTTACGAAAAGGTTAACCTCTAGTTTTAGGGAGAAAATAATTTTTCGAAACTATAGAGTAACTTCCTCCAACTTAACATTCTTGCTTAATTTACTATATTACTATATTGCTTGGTCAGGAATGTAATCAGTTTGCTCATGACCTGGGAAAGTAATTTATTTACTGTAATTTCACTACAGTGATGTCATTACAACCATTCCTGATTGCGATTGGTGGATTTTTCTTACACCTGCACTTTTTCCGCGTTAAAGCGGTTGACACAAGTGGGTAGAAGTACGGCCGCTAGCTCCCCAGTTTCTTTTCATTTTCTTTTTTTTGAAAAAAAAGTTTATCCATTTATTCATCCATTCCTTTGCTGCGGGTAGGTAGGCTTGGAACCGGTTGGCGTTTGTCAAGGCTAGGGACAGATTAGTAACAGACAGGCCTATCCTCCGTTTCACTCTAAGCTGGACTAGGCGCCGAGGCTACGGGCCATCAGGTCCAAGCAGGAGCCAGTTGGACAAGTCACGTGCTTGAACAAAACGCGAGCGGGTGACAGGCGGATCGGACGGTGCAGAATGGCTCGTGACTTCTCCCGCTGCCCTCTGGTTGGACCTGACAGCTTGTAGCTTCGGCGGCTAGCCCAGCTTAGGGTGAGACGCTGTATAGGCGGGGGATTTTAAGCCGCTGTGAAGGTTTTTCCCGACTCCCTTGCTGTGTGGCTTTGGAGCTGTGAACTGTGTCCGGAGAGCCTGGTGTAAGGACGTGCCTTCCCTTCCCCTTTTTCTTTTTCCCCTCCCATGCTCATGACCGTGGTTGTTGCTGTTCTGGAGTCAGCAAACCCAGCCGCTTTGGATGGCCTTTCCAGTGTTGTAACTTCTTTTTCTTGCGTTTCACACTCTCTCAAGTTGAAAAAAAAAAAAAAAAAATCTCCACAGCAAAGTTATAAATGACCTTACTTAAGCAAACGGGGGTTCAGTTCAGTTTGGAAGCAACATGTCGATGAACGTAAGCGCGTGGACGACCGAAGATCTCTGCGCATGGCTGACTGAGAACCAACTAGAAGCAGCGTGCTCTTCGTTTCGAGGTAAGGCTTCCATCGTAGTAATGCGTAATTTCTTCAGAGTATTGCTAAAGGCACATTACCGCTAAAAGGCCCGATATTGATGAACGGAGAACGATTATTAATTAGAAACATCAGCTTTCTGAAATTATTTGTTTCTTAAGCGGTTTTTCGGAAATTGAGCCTCATAATTGAGCCCGATAAAGCACCGAACGCGAGGATATTCCTTGAGCAGCCAGGGGCCTGATTTGGCGGTACTGTGCTCCCGGCATCTGTATTTATATTGATGACACGTCACGTTGGCTATTCAGTAAAGAAATCATTTCTATTTCAGCTTAACACACCAACATGACTTTAATTTTTCGATGCACGATATGTGACATCGCTAAATTTTCTCTCGGCAAACTGTTGCAGCACCTTTATCTGATACATAGCCAAGCTCCAAACTTTTCCCTTACGTGCCAACTTAACTCATGCACTGCTCATTTCAAAAAGTTTGAATCTTTCCGAAGGCATGTGCATCGAAAACACGGCAATCTCTTGAGCAGTTCGCACTTCAGTAGCACGGCGGTCAATGAGCACGTTGGTGACAATGAACAAAGTCACGAGGGAAACGATCCACCACATGACATCCGTGTAGCTGCTGTGTCCCCCTCAAATTCTGTCATGCATTTTAGGCAGTTATTTGTGGGGTTAAGGGACACCCTTTGTGGCTTCATTTTAAGCATGAAAGAGAAGCATTGTGTTCCGGGTGTCGTTCAGGAGGATGTCACCGAAAACATTCGCACGCTTTTTAACTTTTTTTCGTGTCACTACGTAGCCATACTGAGAAGTCATTTGGCCAAGGTTGGTTTAAACACGGAGGAGGATGATGACTTGAACGAAATCCTGAGTTTGGATGAGTGCTTCGAACACGCCCTTGAGGCAGTCAGCAGTGAGCATAAGCTGACAACGTACTGCAAACGCAAGTACGACTTAGTTGAGCCTATAGAGTGTCACCTTGATAGCGCTGATGGTGAGAAAAGAGTTTATCACTACATCCCGGTCTTGAAAGTAATAGAGGCTGAGCTAAAAAAAGGTGACGTAATGTCGGCTCTCTTGACCAGTAACGCGCGACGGGAAAACAGGGAGTGCATGACAGACTATTGCGATGGAAGCCTTTTCCAGAGGCACGAGCTCTTCGCAAGTGGAGAATTTTCCTTGCGTCTCCACTTCTACACTGACGAATTTACGGTAGTGAACCCGCTTGGCTCGAGAAAGAGCGAGTACAAAATTGCGGCGTTCTACTTCGTTATTGGCAACCTACCTGCGCAGTATCATTCCCAAATGAAGCACATTCATTTGGCTATGCTCTTCAAGCACAGCCATTTGAAGAATCACAGTTATGGGGAAGTTTTAAAACCTTTAGTTTCAGACTTAAAAAAGCTTGAACATGGGATTCAGGTTAACACTGCTGTAGGAGCGTTAACAGTGCGGGCAGCGGTTGCATGTGTCTGCATGGATAATCTTTCAGCGCATCAGTTCGGCGGATTTTCGACAAGTTTTAGAGTGGGAAGAATTTGTCGGTATTGCATGGCCACCTCTGAAACTATGATTGAAACAGATGTTTCGACGTTCAAATTAAGGACACTCGATATTCATGAAATTCACCTGCAAGCCGCAAAGGCGGATCCTGAACTTAGCAAAGTGTACGGTGTCACTCGCGAATGCCCGTTCTCGGAACTCAAGTTTTTCGACGTGACAGTCGCTTGCCCTCCTGATCTGATGCATGACTTGCTGGAAGGCATTGTACCCCGCGTGATCAAGCTTGCGCTAAAAAAGCTAATTGATGAACGCCACTTTACACTGGAGTTCTTGAACAAACGAATCAAGTCTTTTAATTACGGGTTTTCCGACAGCACTGACAAGCCCGTGCCTATACCAAAACAAAGCTTGAGTAAAAGGGGATTAATTCCTGGCAAAGCTGTCCAGAAAATGTCGTTGCTGACATTCCTACCACTGCTTATCGGCCACAAAGTGCCAAAAGGTAACCAAACCTGGAAAATGTTCCTTCACCTCCGCTGTGTAACGGATATTGTTTTCGCTCCATCAATTGAAAGGTCATGGGTGCCATACCTTGAGCATCTAATCAAAACCTTTTTGGACAGCTTTCTGGAGATATTCCCAGGTCATTTTCATGCAAAAATGCATTACCTCGTCCATTACCCGCGCTTCATTACCTTGTACGGGCCGCTGAGGCACGTCTGGTGCATGAGGTTTGAAGCGAAGCACCAGTATTTTAAAGGAATCGCCCGAATAACTCGTAATTTTGTCAACGTTACTCTGACGTTGTCAAAAAGGCACCAGATGCGGCAGTGCTACGAGCGCCTAAGTAGCCTAGACGTAGGCTATGTACCCATGGCAGCCGCTAAGGAAGCGGCTTTCATGACTTTGCCAACGTCGCTGCAGGAAAGCGTCAAAGCCTATTTCGACACCGAGTGCGATGAGCAGGAAATTATGGTCGAAGTCAAGGCGCTTAAGAAAGGTTCCGTAATGTACAAAGTGGGACTGCTGTATCCTGTAGCTCTCTTACACGCAGAAGAGATCCCGCTCTTCTTTGAGATTGAAAGGATCATAAACGTGAGGGGCCTGTGGATGTCATGTGGTAAGCTCTTGAGGCCCACACATTTCCTGGAACATGAGCACGCGTATGTCGTCAAAGAGACAAGCGACTGGCACTCGTGCCAACCTGGATCGGAGATTGATCACACACCTTTGAACAAATATGCAAATTCGAAAGGTGACATCACGGTTTTTCTGAAGTATCGCATCTCCGGAAACAAATGCTAAGCCTGACCAGCTCGTGCTCTCTCTTCCCTCGGAAGTGCGCGTTCTTATCTCCTGCTGTCGCCAGAATAGCTAGATCGGTAATCGGTAACGCAGTCCCTGCTCTCCCGGCAGCTTTGGTTAAAATCCGCACCGCGGGAAGGGAGGACGGCAAGCGGGGTGTGGGGAAGTTCGGGGGTAAAGTGACAAACCAGCCACCTGACCTCTACGTATAAATAATAATCGAAGCGTTCTTGACACCTAGTGCTAACGTGTCCATTTCCTTGGCTTTGCATCAGATAACGAGCTCGACGGCGAGGAGTTATTCAATTTAACTGACGACATGATAAAGACACTGTTCCCGACCATGAAGAGCCAGCTTCGTTTCATCAGAGCAAGGAAAGATCTGCGCGAGGAAAGGTAGGAGGAGATTAAAAAATGTTCTCTATAGCAGCTCGCCCAAACCTGGCATGACCATTGTACATGTCATTGCGTATTTCGTAGCTCGGCAAACGCTGCGGAACCGGAAGCTCTCCCGCTCATCGTGGAACTGGGATCCACACAAGATCCGCCAACAGATACATGGCCTTCTGTTTATAAGTTGCCGCCATTTCCTCCTGCTCTTCAAAGGGGCCTGGTTGAAAAAGACAGGAGCCTTTTCAAGCCCGGACAGTCAAGGCTTCGTACAATGCTTGTCCGCGCTCTCGCAGAGGATATTACGAAATACTCACTGTAAGTTAGAAAGCAATAATATATTCGAACAGAGCATTTCTACTAGAAAACGCATGGTTATCCTACAGTGTATTTTTAACTCCTTTTGAATCGCTAACCAAAGCTTATCTCGAATCACCTTCATTTGCTCACGTGATAATTTTTTTGCTGCTTGTATCACATACGCAATGAGGGCATTCGCTCTTCAATTATTATACCCTTCTCTTTGTAACAGGTACCCAAGTAAGACGCAGTATAGTGACGTTTTCGCTACACTTGGAGCAAGGTATCCGTTTCTGAAGGACAAGGACACAGGTAGATGCGTAAGTGTCCGTGTTGAGATCAAATGAAATAGTTTATTTGAAATTGACCATTCGATAAAGAAATTGTTGTCTGCTTTAGTGTTTCCAGTGTTTGCTAAGAGTGCACGTTGCTCTCATTAAATTAGGAGCCTGTTCAGCAAATAATTCGCGTGAAGCCTTCCTATTATTCTGCTATTCCCTTATCGATTACACAGATGATGCAGGAACAAAGGTTACGGACTATACGCGAAAAATTTTCTGCATTTTTTAGGACTTTCTTTTAGTGCAAGTTCTAGCTTATAAAATATGTTCCAGGCAATTACCTTGCCATGAGCGGTACTGCAAAACCTCATTCATACGTATTAAAGTAGAAGGCGAAAGAAAAAAAAACGCGATATCTGACGAAATGCATGGCCCTAGTGAGACTCCTATTGGCGTAATACAAACGAAGCTCTTTGGTCGCGCGCGTACAAGCCGGGAAATCCAGTCAACCACGTGCGTATTCGCGAGGATTTACTGTACAGTTCGAGGCACTGTTAGCGCGAACACGGCATCGGCGCTTTTTTGCGTCTTTCATACAAAATATATAAACGAATGTAAAGTTTTACTGCACTGGTTAATGAGCAAAACAAGCCCATTCCACCGTGCTAGTTAGTATTAATTGTATATTTTCATTTGATGAAAAAAACAGGAAAATCTCCGGGTCGCTTGTTCGTGCTAACAGTGTCTCGCAGTGTACTTCGGAGAATTCTTAACTGTTGATTCGTGTGAAAGCTAAAAATTAAGGCAGCTGTCCTTTTACTTTCTCCTTTTAGGACACAATCAGACAATGCGTTCAAAACAAGCTGAAAAAAGAACGCAGGCCACTAGTGTCCTTGAGGGAAGTTACGGATTACAGAAATAAATATGGAACTAAGGGCCGAGGAAGGAAGCGCTCAGCAGAACACGATATTGCGGGGCCGTCTGCCAAGGCATGCCGCCGTGTGAGTAGACCATTTCACTATCTGCGTTTTAAACAGTGTACAATTTCGCATGATCTTGTCAACGCTACTAGAGACCAAGCAACTGATTTGGTTTGCCACCTGTGTTGTAAATTGCACTTGTCCGTTGTTAGCAATGATTACGATATTGTACTCACCAACGTTCGTGCCTTACGAGGGGCATTTAACTTACGACGTCTCCTTATTTTTTAATAAATATGTTACATGTGATAGAAACCAAAACTTTCGCCGTTGGCCTACACGGTCATCCCGCAGTTATTTTCTGCGAACGCCGGACCACAATCACACGGCCGCTGCGAAGGCTGTTTGAGGAGCCTGTCGAGACTGTTGCCGCGATGGTAGCGCAGCCGGTAGAGCGTTTTTTTTTTTTTTTTTGAACAGGTACAAAAATAGATACTGCGCCTGAGTATCGAATGCTGGGCGCGCTGTTATTAAACAATCGCTCTACCGACTGCGCTATAGCCGCGGCAATGCTGCAGGTGCAAACTTGCGACGCACATTACTTGCACAAAAGAAGTAGCAAATTAGCTGTACAGCGTAATTATAGTCCACCAGTCAGATAATGAACAGCTGCTTTTAGTTGCACCCTGCTGAGGAATATAAAATGTTCACGCCGCCCCCATAATTAAAATTTAGCTCGCGTGTTTCAGCTTACTGGCAGCAACTTACATCCACAGCTATTTTGATGGGTCGCGAGAGCTATTTGTCGAATGCCTTGCCCAGCCTCTGTGGGATCAACACACCGAACCTGTTTGAAGCTTGGCTGAAGGGTGACTGGGGCGTATGGAAAAGAAAGCGCAGAAAGGCAGGTGCTAGACGCACATTTATGATTGAATCGACCAAAATTTATCTGCACTCCGTTGCTGAAAAATATGCCATTAATTGGTTCAGCATACGAGCCACGTAGAAAGTTGCTTTTTCATTATACTCTAGTCAAAGCTGTGTTCAGTCTGTTGAAAGCCTACAAGCTTGAACGGTGTCTGCAGCTAACAAATTATGCTTTCTTCTAGGGCTCCATTTCTTCTAACAAATGTGAGGACGAGGCCAGCATCCGTCACCACATCGCCGTAATGAAAGAAGAGACAGCGAAAGTGGCTGCGGACATGGATCTGATTCGAGACCGCATGAAGCGGACGTTCAAAACACGGCAAGATCTTATTCTGCGTGAAACTGGCGTGCGCACAGTCATCGAGGAATTTCCAGCGGTCACGCTGCCTGGCATGGTAAGTCGACATGCTGCAAGCGTTTTTACGGAAGCTTTCCACCGGCGTCTTTGTTCAGTTGTGAGGGTGCAGTCCAGAAGGTGAGACATAGCTGAAGGAAGATTTACATGCTACACCACAGCGCGGCATGCGGTCTTCCCCAGAGGAAGACGGACAAGCTTGGCCTGAGTCAAATACCTTGCAATTTTTACGTTTCCTTAAATTTTAGTCATAAGCTTGCATGAAGTTTGTTGAACCTCCGCGCCTTTGTTCTTAGCTTTCACATAGAACATAATATCGGCCGTCGGAAAACTCTCCTTAGCAAAACCAAGACGCAGATAACTCAAGTAAAGCACAAGTATGAGAGAATAGGATATTGATATACACGGAGATCAAAAGCGTTACATACTTTTTAAAAACTAGGCGCTGTGACGTACGCGAAGTCCACATCTATACATAGCTTATGCAGCCACAGCGAAAATCAGTGCGATAACAATTGTCACATATAAGGGGACAGGGAATTAACTAAAATCAACTAATGAGCTTTTTACTGGCTACAGTAAGCGGACTGGAACCTTAAAGGGGGGGTGCAACGATTTTATGATTAACAGAATTATCATCTCGTAATTTTTACGTTGTTTATTGTGTCCAGGAGGATAGAGAAAACACATCCTTCATTAAAAATGTCACGCTTCCGCTGTATAATCGCAAAACAAAAGCCGAGCTTTTTCCCCCACCTACAGCCCCAAGCGGCAGCCGAAGGAACTACGGCGAAAAGATTACGTGACCTCGCGCGGCTCTAAGCTGCAGCCTAACGCCCGCTAATGTCAGCAGAGAGAGGGAGAGGAAGCGTCCTCCGAGATAGCACACGGGAGCCTACACGACACTCCGAAAGACGTCACTCGGAGTGCGACCAGGTGTGACCCTGAAGACTGGGAGTGAGTTGAGGGGTGCCCGAAATGCCAATATTTATCTTTTTTTTACGCAACAACTAGGACGCGTAGGCAAAATCGGATTTCTGTTCTTTACTTCAGAAGTGTCAAAGGGCAACTTCTACAATTTTCTGACAGAAGTCCGAAAATCGTTGCACCCCCCCTTTAAAGAGGCGATTATATTGCTACGTGGTTCCCTTTCAAAGGATTCTCCTAGCACGCCCGTGTTCCGAGATGACCACGAGGCACAGAGCTCTTACCCGGTGTGACGCACCCGCTGCGCATGGTATCTCGTCTAACAACAAGGCAGAGTACCAAGCGAGGCTGATTAATTTTTTCCTTTTCATTCTTGGGAACAGTTATTGGCTGTGGTTCTTACCCCTCCTCGCTATAAGACAAGCCTCTCCACACAACTGCGTTACACCGGAAATGAGCTTTGCGCCGAACCCCATGGTCTTGCGTGCATAAATATATTAATTTTGTTGAAAATCTGGGATATCTCGGAGCACGGGTGGGCTAGAAGAATCTTTCCAAACGGAACTATTTATGAATCTGACAGCCTTTTCACTTTTCACTAAAGTTGTCACTTTAAAGCGTGTCCATTTACTGCGGCCACTAGAACAGTTAATTAGTTGATTTTAGGGAATTAGGCAATCTAGGCTGACAATTATCATCACCTCGGTCGCATAACTTGTGTGTGGAGGTGGATTTCACGTACTTCTCAGTGCTTTATTTTATAAGGTCACCTCACATAAAATTCATTCCTTGATGTAAGAGGGTATTTATTACAGCTCTAATTTTGGAAACCCGTGGCACGTGTAACGGGACAGTCACTACTCACTACTCTTAATTTACAGCTATTGCAGGACGCTAAATTGGCGTTTGGTAAGGACTTCCTGGAGGATATGAGGACAAAGATGAAAACATTCGAGGTGTCCACCCTACTATTCCTCAAGGGAAAAAATTCCCCCCTGGACTTCCAGGAGCTTATCGAAGGTATAATTTCCATATCTGACATTGTTAGAACCTCTGCGAGTGGAGTTTTACGTACTAAAGCACCATTGTGCAGCATTAATGCACTATTTCATACATCAGTTGCCACGTTTATCCCCACAGCGCATAAAGAGGAAGAGTGATACATAATAATGATCACACTTTATTGTCTTTATCAAGGTACACACCTGTAAAATATCTGTTCTCATAGTTAACGCGACTTTGGCACACGGGCTAATAGCAAAGGATACAGCGTTTTGAGCTGGTTCATTTTTATAGTTATTATATACTTCAAGTAAGTTTCAATAGAGGTGGGAATACGTTTTCCGAGAAAATAAAGTGGAGGCAGTTGGTGGGAACTACTTTCGCTTTAGTATGGCTTTATTTTCCTATTTACTAGTAGCTGCTATTCCCCTAAAGAGAGTAATAAAACATTCTGCTGGTGTATCTGGGGTGGTTTCAGAGCGCTTTATTCTTGCAATTTTTGTTTACATGCAAGCGCGTGCTAGCGTTTGCCGCCCTGAAAGCTTGAGCTTGGAGTGGTTTCGAGTCGCTTCAAATCCAGCTGCAGAATTTGTCATAAGTATCTTTAGGAGTCCGAAAAGGTTGATGGCATATTCTGCTTGTGGATTTGGAGCGAGTCGAAACCGCTCCATGCTCGAAAAAAAATTCTGCGTCAATTTGACGCTGTGTGTCTGCTAGTCTAGCGCTGCCAAGGCTACAGCGCGCGCGCTCGCACTGTACTCCTGGCAGGGCTAGAGTTGCACATCCCCAGCGTCAAATCTGTAAGGAATTTTTTGCGGATCTACACGAGACGTCCCATTAGAGCGGTAAACGCTAGCACGAGAACACACGCGCTTAAAGATTGCAAGCAAAAAGAAGCCCCAAACCACTCGAAACCACACAAAGCTACAGCGGCTCTTGGTTGTTAGACTATTTAGACAGTCGGTAGAATCTGGGAGCTCCTTTCATTACTCTTATGGCGGCTTGTAGCGCTATCAACAACAGATGCCCCTTCCCCTCTCCACGGTCCAAGCTCGAGCCCTCTAGAAGGAGCGCGCCAAAGGCGCTGCCCAAATTAGCATGAGATTAGTAGGAGCCTAAATGCCCACACCTGTGAACTTTGCGTCGTGTGCCACCTAAAACGGCCTTGATGACAGCCCTTCATACCTGGTGTCAAGGCCGTTCTAGGCCACCGCTGCCCTGATGTCAGATATGAAGGGCTGACATCAGACATGCTGTGTACAAATCTCACTAGAAATCAGTGGCGAAGGCATACATACCTTCCATTCACATATAGCGTAATTATATTTTTCAGTAAGAGAACAAAAGGAGTACCCAGACAAGATTTAGTATAAACTTCAATACAATTGTTGCGGCTGTTTTGCTTTCAGAGGATCCAGAGAAGGTGGCCCTCTTTAACTTGCCCCTCATCTTCAACGAGAAGCGTCAGCTGTTGTTCACAACCGAGGTTCGTTGATGATTACTATCTAAATGACTGAACCAGCTCTCATTTCAGTCGGAAATATTGCTAAAATAATAAGTGTGCTGGACATGATCATCCAGTTACATTTAAATATTTCAATGACCTGAAAAGTGGCCCAAAATGTCGCAGTCACCTGGTTCAAACCACGAGAAACATGGAACACGACGTATCGTAATTTTGATCTTGCTTTCTGTGTTCCAGGAAGTCCGGATACTGACGCCAGTCATACAAGTTGAAGAAAAAAAACACCACATTTTTTTGGATGGCGTACGGATCGTCAGCGGCATCAGCACAACGGTAGAAGCTGTCAGCACCTTGCTGGCAGCTTACTACGTATTTGATGTAAAGTATCCGACTGGCATCGCCCACACCATGGGCTTTCTCGGGCACCATTTTTGTTCACTCGGCGAAAATATGCCCATTCCAGTTAAAAGATTCGAAAGTTTTTTGGCGGTATAAATGTTAGCGGTTTATGATACTTTCTGTAAATATTTCATTCATAAAGAGTCATATATTGCCTTGATGGATCAAATAAACGAGTGCGAAACGAACCTGATCTTTGTATTTGTTCCTGCGCTGGTTCAACCGAGGCGCAGAAGTCTATAATTGCATAAATTGGTCTACTCCAACACTAGCGGACGTTTTGTTATGAAGGTTTTGAAAGATATCTGAAATATTCCGGCTAAACTTAAAACATTCATGTACTGAGGAAACAGAAATGACATTTATCTGGCATTAAAAACAGTAACATTGTATTATTAAAGATCATAGGACCCAAAAGGGGTCCTACAAGAACCTATGTAAGGTTCATTAAAAGCATCCAAAAAGGATTCTACAAGAACCCATGTGTGGTTCATTAAAAGCACCCAAAAAGGATCCCAGAAGAACCCATGTGAGGTTCATTAAAAGCACCCTAAAAGGATCCTACAAGAACCCATGTGTGGTTCATTAAAAGGATCCTTCAAGAACCCACGTGTGGTTCATTAAAAGCGCCCAAAAAGGATCCTACAAGAACCCATGTGAGGTTCACTAAAGGCACCCTAAAACGATCCTACAAGAACCCATGTCAGGTTCATGAAAAGCACCCAAAAAGGATCTAACAAGAACCCACGTGTGGTTCATTAAAAGCACCCAAAAAGGATCTAACAAGAACCCATGTCAGGTTCATGAAAAGCACCCAAAAAGGATCTAACAAGAACCCATGTCAGGTTCATTAAAAGCACCCTAAAAGGATCCTACAAGAACCCATGTCAGGTTCATGAAAAGCACCCAAAAAGGATCTAACAAGAACCCGTGTAAGGTTCATTACAAGCACCCAAAAAGGATCAAACAAGAACCCAAACAGGTTCTTTAGGAAGAACTGAAAAGGTTCCGGAATGAACCCGACATACCGTTCGAAAAAAGAACCGTTAAAGGATCCCAAAAGAACCAGGCATAAGGTTCTTTCAAAAGAACCCTCTAATTGGGTTCTTTTCTGCACCTTTAAAGGTGCCGCCCATTGGACAAGCGAAAGAACCCTTAAAGGTGCTAGTTTGCACGTTTTTTTCTGAGAGTGTACTTTCCCCTCCTCGTTCGTTGCCACTGGCCACTGGATCAAGCTCTTTCTGGACCGCGAGTGCTGGAAGTTACAAATACAGGGTGTCACAAAAGAAAATTTACACTGTCTTTTTTACTGCAAAACTAAACTAGGCATCGCCGAACGCTCATTCTCCGCCCAAAGGCAGAGCTTGAGGTCACAACCAGATGCCAAAGTTTCAGCCTGATCCGATAACTTAATCAAAGGTTATAAGTGATTTTCTGAAAATTTCAATGGGAAAATGGAGCCCATTTTTGCCCGTTTTCGGTTTCTGGTGCCATAGAGCCCCATGTGTTTGAAAACTCTGTCGGCAACCATTTTCCCAATGAAATTTTCAGAAAATCACTTATAACTTTTGATTAATTTATCGGATCGGGCTGAAACTTTGGCATCTGGTTGTGACCTCTAGCTCTACCTTTAGGCGGAGAATGAGCGTTCGACGATGCCTAGTTCATATTTGCAGTAAAAAAGACTGTGTAAATTTTCTTTTGTGACACCCTGTACAGTCGTCGGGGTAAAGTAAAACGCTGCCCCAGAAGCACATTTATGGCTTCACACACATTGTACTCGCAAAACACATTTACACGTTGATTCTTATTGTCATCCGAGCATGCGAAGGCACAGAGACGCAGTGCTTTTGTGGGCCAGGGAAGCTTTGATCACGCGACTAGACCGGTGAAACCTGCTTTCGACAAGTTGTGCCTTTTTCCTGTGGCACTCTGCTGCCGTAAAAATTTCCACGTTTTCTCAATGGCAAGTTTCACGGCTTACACAGGGTTTTAAAAAACTTGTTTGGCAAATGACGACAAACAAGTAGAAAACATGTCTTCAGCTCGCTGCCGCCAGCCTCCGCCACGTTCCAAAAATAATTTTTCAATGTGCAAGATGGTTGTTCGGTGGCCGCACTCGCGCTGCAGCGAGCAAGCGGGGATGCGTGATCCGGAAATTGTCATAGGACCGGTGGTTCGTTCGTTTCGCGGTAGGCCTAGCGGGCGAACGACGACCGTGCTCGCATAACGTACCGCAGGATGGCGCCACCGACATCATTAGATGCTGGCTGGAAGCAGACGATGACGTGCCACCTGCTTTGGCCGCTATGATTTATTGAATACTTTCAGCGAATATGATGTGTTACCGCTCAATAATAAATAGGACTGAGGTACACAAACCACTTCTGTCCCACGGTGAGCTGAGCGAGCACTCTGCCATAGACGGAAACAATTTTGTTCTTTTATGAAATTAAGGAACCCCAAGTTACTCGCTTATATTTCCCTACGTAAAAGCAACTATTAAAATATGTGCTCGAGCGAAAAGTAGCCACTTTCCGAGAAAAGTGTTCAACTTTTACTTTCCCTTTATAGTTGCTTCCCTTTGGCTGGAATAATTATTGATGCCTTGCATGGGAGGAAGTGAGGTGTCAATCATTGTTTCAGTGGCCCCAATTACTTGAGGAACACTCGTATGATTCTTCCTCGCTATATTTGCATTTTAAAGAGATGCTGAACCGAAATCTGGATTCCACAAAACACGGCGGCAAAAGCGTGCAACGGGATGCTACAAACACCAAAACATCGCCCATATAGCGATATCTCGACCATATTTTTAAAAAAAAGGAGGCGCATGTGACAGATATGTTGACGTCTTGTTTCTTTGAGAAGAGTCGAGAAGGAGAGGGAATGGTCTTGCGTCTTCCTTGCCTCGTCGCCTTGTTGGGGCGAAGCGAAGTGAGGAGAAAACCAGATACGTTGACTCCACGGGCGTCCATTCGAAATATCTCCTTACGAGTAGTGTTGTAGGGATTGTAGCGTCCCATCTACAGCTCCTGCATCGTTTTCTGAAATCCAAATTTCGGTTCACCATCCCTTTAAGGAAAAGTGCATGTTGTGACGTGTAGTTTATTCGCTCTGTTAAAATAGTTTTATTGCCCTGCAGTTGTCGAAGACTGAACTGATTTAGTAAATGGATCGAGATTTAAAGGCATTTTGCGTTTTTACTTTCTATCCCCTTCTATTACAACACTTCCAACAACAATCGTTTTGCTGCTAATATTTGTCTGTATTATAATCACAGTTAAAATAGTTTTTATGGCACTTTGAGGAACTGCGGTGTTTTCTATAGTACTTGCATCGCTTTTTACAAGGTGATGAACGAGAATCACTTGCTCCAAAAGCTGAAATCGGAGGGGTGGGGGACATGCTACCACAGCCATGATGGAGCACTCACACATATTTTTGTTGCAGTCTATACTTCTGAGCATCGCCAGCAATGACGGGCCCATGTGCTGGACAGACCATGGGACGCCACTGAACCGATCATTCTCGAGCCAACCGCGGGAAAACAGCGGCTCCCAGAACCCGTCCTGGTGGATTTCAAGTTACGAGCCTGCCAACATTGGTCGTCAGCTGCAATGCCTCTACAAAAGCCGCTATCCCATGCCAGTCATTCGGGGCACACTACCACAGCCGTGATGGAGCACTCGAACATCTTTTTGCTGCAGGTTGGTTATTTGAAAACTTCAGCTTGCTGTCATTTTAGCAACTAATGTCTGCTAGTGGTATTGTGGCCCAGTGATTGCCAAATTTAACACGGCTCTCTCTAAGTTTTCTGACTATTATGTGGTAAATTTTTTTTTTGATTGTACAGTTAATGACAACTAGTTACTTTCCAAACAAAAGCTGCTAGAATTTATTCTTGCCTTTGTTCTATGTGTTCGTATTTGGTTAGACAGTACTAAACCCCGGCACAAGGAAGATTTTGAAAACTAGGGCAACAGAAAGAAAAGACTATTTCAGGTAGCCAAAAACTCGAATTTCGAGGCAGCCTGGACCAAATATAACTCTTGGGCCAAACTCTGTATCGAACGTATGCATTTCTTCGAAGACAAATTTTAGAACTGACCTGCCTTTAATATTAAAGAATAACGAAAAAACGTTTTGGAAACTTATTTTCCCATATCAGTCATTCCGTTCAATACTCTTGATGAACAATGATGGCAGTGTTATTTCGGACGCTGAATGTCCTACGGTTTTTAACAATTGCTTTTAGTCTACTTTTACTGATGGAGATAGTTCTTTCTTACCTTTTGTACCAGATGTCGATTTTAGGCATATGGACCCTATTTCTATTACACCGTCTGAAATTGCGATATTAATGATAACCTCAAAATTTTCAGCTCGGCTGGTGTCGACTCAATTAATACAAAAATTCTAAGAAAATACCAAGGGTGTATGTAACCAGTGAAATATTGGCACAAAAAATAGGTGACTAGGCGAAGTAAAAGTGAATGTTTAATGGGGCAAACTTTGCCCAAATTAAAGGGAAATAACAGCACGTCGGAGGCGTCGAGTGTCTTCAATACAACAGGGTCGAGCACAAGCTATAGCTGATTGCATAAGGCCACGTGGGGCTTCTTTTATAGCACTCTCCTTTCTAGAACATTCTGTTCTAGAATTAACCACGGCCTTCTCAAATTTTCTAGAAGCATTGTCATAGGAGTAAATAAAAACATCTGCCGTCCCAGGATTCAAACCCGGGACCTCTGCATGACAGTCGGGCGCGGTGCCCACTGGGCTACCCCTAAGCACGCAGTAATATGCAGTCTACTTTTCCAGCATTCGTCCACTGGTTGCGTCTCATTTGAGTGGAAGGTTGGGAAGGTCGTTCCAATCTACAAAAGTGGCGACCGTCACTCTGTGGGAAACTACCGTCTTATATCATTAACCAGCGTTGTATGCAAGTTGTTAGAACTCTAAATATTTTCTCATGTAGTATCGCATCTGGAATCTACTAACAACTTTTTCTACCGAAATCAGTACAGGTTTCGTAAAAGATAATCATGCTAGAGGCAGTTGCTGGAGTTCACCCATGATATTCATGTTAATAT